TTTCTGTTGATACCAAACAGGGAACACCAACAAAGAAACCTCCTCCCGTCTCCCCCAAACCAAAGGGACCAATGTTTCAGAAACCACCAACAGCACCCAAGCCATCGCCCAAGAGGGACGTCCGACCAAAGAGTCTCATGATCGACACCAGACCAAAACCTCAGACCGTCGCCACCCCTTCTGCAGATGTGAGACCAAAAACACCCACAAGTGCTACGTTTAGAACACCAACACCAACTACGCCCCTCGAGAACAAGAGCCCCACTGCAAAGGTACTCCTAGACTCTGGCCCTCCACCCAGATCACCCAATACCGTTGTGGAAAACAGGAGCCCAACAACGAAAGCTTACGTGGATCTGACTTTCATGGAAACCCCCGTGTTAAACGGAGACCACCCTTCTGCTGTGAGAAATAGTGGGACCTTACATAGGATGGCTGACAATAGGGGTCCAGACGAAGTGGCAGCCAAAAGCCCGACGATAAAGACAACAGACGACCTGTTTGCTATGATTCATCAGGCTAAGAAAAGGTTGACAATTCATGTGGACCCAGAGGACGGAGGTCGGAGGGCGAGGTCAGCGTCACCAGCTCCGAGGCAGTTAACAGGACCGAAACGAGGAAGCCAAGCACACCTGCGGCATCAGAACCAACACCAAGACCGAAGTCTCGGCTTGGTCCAAAGAACTCCACGAGCAGGGAAGACTTTAAGGCTCTCCTGCTGAAAAATGGAATGAGGCTGGACCCGTCATCGAGGATGTCTGCTGCGGAGAAGCTGAGGAAGAACCCCATCCTCACACGACAACGTTCACCGGACGACGCCTCCTCCACGTGTAGCAGCGTAGATGATCTCACCGATGACTACGAAGCAGAGAGAGGCGGGATGGCGACCATGAAGGACCTGAAGTCAAGTGATGTCAAACACTCGCAGCCATTCGAGGACAAGCGACTTAGGTCTGTTCAGCAACGCCGACCTACTCAGCCCAACCGGGACGGTGAAGAGAAACCCTAAAGCTTCTTCTACCCCAAAGAGTCCTTCTTATGCCATGGTCACTCGGTACACGGTGGGAAGGAGTCGAACACCGAGCGAGCCCATGCACGCAATATCAGAGGCACCTGACGAAGTCGGTTCCCCGGAATACAAGACGAGATCGAAATCGTTCTCGGGACTGATTGATTCGGAATCTCCCCGTGGGAGACTGATGGAGTCGATACGCAGTGTCGGAGATATGGACAAAGACAGAGATAGGACAGAAGCAATAAGCACATTGGAAAGGAAGGGTTCAACATCGGGAAGCTCGTTGGACGAGAGTCCAAATGCATCTATGCACACAGCGTTGCTGGAACATGTCAAGAACTCTATGAGAGTCTTTCCGGATGGGAATTCACAAGAGGATGTAGCCTCAAATGCTGGGGACTGGGACTAGATGGTGTTATAGAACAGGTAAGCCTTGTGGCACACTCCTCATAGGTGTAAAGCAGGGGCTGACATCTGTAATAAAACTGTCAAATTTCATGCTCTTTACTGGTGTAGCTTTTTGGCAGTTTTGGCAGAAAATTTTGGTTTTGGATATAAGGTCAGGTAGTAGGTTAGATTTCATATCTAGCACGACTGGGGTAGTACCTGTCTTGTGTCATGGAGTCAATTATTTGTCAAGGATTATTTGAAGTTTTGCATGATGCAAATTTGCTTTTTGGTTGAAGGTTGTATTGTATTAGAGTTGTAATGGATAATATTTACATTTCCATAGATTAGTCAAATGTTGAATTTCTGATGTTGAGCTCCTAAATTTGTATGCAACACAGCTTCTAAAATCCATAATGCAACAGACTCAGTCTTATGCATGCTTTATATAGCAGTTGTTTTCTATGTTGACAATAATGAGGATTTATATGGGCACTTGAACAAATATTTATAAGATGCAGTTGAGAGGATTAAGGTGTCAAAATGTTGCTGCACCAGGAATTCACATTATTCCTTGTTAAGTCTAAAGTGTTGTTGGTAATAACATGGAGAATGCATTAGAGCTTCTATAGGATGGATGGGCAATAGCAACAACACATAAACAGAACATCTGTATTCCCCAGTCAATATAAAGACCCAAGAAAACATATGGAGCAGAAGAAATATATGGTTATAGATGTTTATGTTCTTCATAAAACTTTGATGCTAAACACTCAGTCAGTGGGGCTCTGCACAATATGTCAATGGGTAGATCATAAAACAAACACAAAATAGATGGTGTTCTGGGTAAAGTGGGGTTTTCTTATCTAAATTGGGAGCCATCTAGGAGGGACGTTTTAAGATTACTGACCCCATTCAGTCCTGAAATTGCATAGCCAAGGTAATACCTGCTGGCATATTTGGGTCAGGAGATATCAGTCAAGTCAGTAAAAAATGAGATTGGGTGGACAAACAAGCTTAAGGTGATTGCTGTAATGACAAATCTCCGACACAAGATTTCCTCAAAGAAAACCTGTTTATATAGATGTACAAGATACAAGTCCTCAGGGTGGCAATGTTGCTGTCATCTGCATTTGTGGACACCCGTGCTTCACTAGCTTGGCTATTGTTGATGATCATTATAAGATAGAGCCTTAGGTTGTTGATCTCATCCATTCCAGTCCATGTTGGAACTGGGCTGGATTCACGTCCGTAAGATAAAAAGAATGTCAGGATTTTTTTATTGTGGGACAATGTATATGTAGTTGGAAAACCTGTGTCACCTTGGCAGAGATTCCCACTTTTGCCATATTAAATTGGATTGTTTTTTAAACGTTGAGTTCAAAATGTCTACTCCCAGACAAAATTGAACTGGGGAGAAAGCCTGAGGGCTGGTTGACGATGCTTCACAGAGGTCACTAGATGGATAGAGTACATGGTACACAGTCTGTTCATCTGTGGAAAGTCTGGGATGTCACAAGGACACAATCACTGGTGGATCGGAGGAGGATTGGAGGGATCTTTTTCATCAGCGGGGAGGAAAATTACATGGTGGGGACAGATTAGGGAGCTTCGCAATCTATCGATTCTTTGTCAAGGGTTCGAAGCGAAGTCAGGTTGGAATGGTTCGATGTTTGAAGGCTTCAACAGAAATGATGATGATGATGATTGTACTCGATGAGGACCCCAACAGAAATACCATTCGAGAAAATCAGTGATTGTTTTTAATATGAAAGGCATTTTGGCAAGCTCTTTTAATTTTTCACGTCCATTCCTCTGCCATTCTGTCATGTATTTGGTATTCAAGTATCATCTTCCCTGTAAGAAAAAATTCTTAAACCTCATAATTCAAGAGCACACTGGAATACCGAACAGCCTCAGTTTCTCTGATATACGTCATTGATTGTCACTGCTCATGCGTGTTGCACTAGCAGGAAATGTCAGCCCAGTGAGGGAGAGATGAATCCAAGTGTGGCATAACGAATGTGGGGACGTTAATGAGCTGAGTGTTTCGCCCGGGGCCCATCCAGTTCTGATTGACCTACTTGTGAGGAAATCTTTGATCCTCGATTATCAAAGGGTTCCTGAATGATGCACAGCAGGGGGAATCATTACTGACTGTGGGCTGTGGGTGTTCAGTTGTAAGGCTGCGACTGTTGTACAGGAATAGGTTTAGTGAGGAAACTACAAAGACTGTAGATTACTGAACATTTCATGAAGAAGTATCATCTCATCAGACCAAGGCAGGGCACAAAAAAAAACAGGCTTCTATGTTGCCTGGTAGCAACTAGATAGATGTTGAAAACTGTCAGACATTTCAAGTAGCATCCACCACTTTTCGTCAGTGATAGGTTTCTAGCATGCCCATGTGTTTTTTTAGTACACATATTTTATTACTGTTCATTCAAACGATAAATAAACCAATTACATGTTACCCGTATAGATACCATGATTAACTGTGTTGTTTTCTTCCAGGTCTGTGACTGGTATGCCTGGCCTGTCCCTGGTGCTGAACTGCCATCGACCAACACTGCACATGACAGATGAGCTGGCATGGTGACATCGGCTTCACGGCTACAGGCTGGCTCAAATACCACATCATCTGAAGGCCTCATGTTTATGTCCATGCTACCACCTCCCAGCCATTTAACCCTTGTTCTGCTAAGGCTGCACACACGTACCACATTTATGTTGGTTACTGGAGGTGACAGCAGGGAAAAGGGTAAAACACTGAGGAGGGGGAAAGCATGGAACCTTTCTTATACCTCTTCTTCCCACTTCAGTCTGTTTTATTACCCCTCCCAATGTTATGGCCTGTTGTAAAGCCCAAAATGGTTGAAGTTCTCTGAAACCATCTGTCATATCAGAAAAAAAATCTTGCCCCCCCTCTTTAACTATAAGAATGGAATAGCCCATATACATGAGTTGTAAATTTATTTAAAAGCTGTTATATAAAGTATTTGTAGTCTGCCTGTTTTTCTCTGGAGGAATATGTCCCATTGGTGGCGTGTGCTTTTAGCTGCATTAGAGTGTACCATGCAAGGTGGATCACAATCCATCTCGTTGTAAATTGTATTTAATCTTAGTCCATGTGGAGTGCATGGTATGCATTTTGCATTTCTTGGCTATTTATATGTGCATACTTTTTAAGATACTACCTTACGAAAGTTTGAAGCATACTGTACCAAAATTTTAAAACTGTTTGGTACCAAAAATGAGGTTTGGATGTAACTGAATTGTAGGTATATGTTGAAACAAAATATGAAGTTTGAAAATGTGTATAATGTCTTAATGTTTGGCAGTTCAAACCCAAGTTTTAACTGAGTGTACGCATTTAGCTGTAAAATTGTGTCTCACAATATTAAAACAATCCCTATCCCTTCTGACTAAGAAGATGTTATTGGTGCTATTGTGAAAAGATAAACTGCCAACAAGTCATTTGTGAGTCAATCGTACTTAAATTGTTGAAGTTTTAAAGCTAAAATCAGGCCAAAGTATGATTCAATATATGGTGTTCTGGTGTGTGTACTTGCTTGCTGTGTTGTTGCATTTTGTACTTAAAACTAAAATCAATCATTGCATTATGTGAGAAATAGAATGCATACCATTTTCTTGGTCTTGTACTAAAGTTTGATGTAAAAGTTGTACAGCTTTTTTTTCTGTAGAAAATGTCAGATGGTGTCGAAGTTCACAAATAGAACTCTTGACATTGTAAATTTTAAGGTAGTACTGTCAATACTATTTTTGTAGACAAATAGTATGTGTTAACCTTAACAAGACAAGACATTCAGGGCACTTACATGTATATCTATGACTCTCCAGTGCCTTATGCTGTTTTTAATGTAAGTCAGAAAGGGTGTAACAGCAGGGGTTTTTAGGCTATGAAAGCATGGAAGTACATGTACTGTACTTCTATCTTGCAGGGGAAATGGTGTTGTGGCCCAATACTAGTAGTATTTATATGATAAGCTAAAGTAGTGAATTGTGTGAACAGCTCCCCCTGTCTGTGCACTTCCTCACTGCAGTGTCTCGTGTGGAAGAAGTGAAAGAAGGCACAGCTCAGTGTTTTGGGGGCTTACTGTGACGATATGTCTCATCACAACGAAATATATACTTTTCTGGATAAAGTGTGGAAAGCAATTTGCTCACATACGAGGAGAAAATATTGTAAATTCAAGTGGAATGAGCAGGAAGATCTGTTCATGGTAACATTTAGCTGCTACTTAGAATTAGGTTTGCTTTGTAAAATATAAGAACAACACGAGAGACAAACTGTAGTCTTTTTAGTGTCCATGCTGTGAGAGTTTTGGAAAGATATCAGTAATCGGATGGAATAGTCTAAACTTTACTACTAGTCATTGAAGTGTGTAGAACATCCCACTTTGCTATTGGGGTGACCATACTTGGTCATGTATATTGTACTTTTTATCACTTCGAGCTGTTCATATGTTGCCTTCCTATCAATTATGTACACTTAATTGAATTTGCTGACATTTAGAGGTTGTTGTTATATCATAAAATACTTGACGTGTTCCTAGAGTATGCTAAGTTGAAAGCCTCAAAGCTATGTTTATCAAGGTTTATCACTTATGTACTTAAATACTGCATTTGGCTTGATTGTACAGAGTTTAAGTTTGATGTAATGTACAGAATGTTCCTGCACTCCATACTGTTGTTTTAGTGTTATGAATGAAGCATGGTAGACATTGGAAGGCCCTGTGTTTAATAGGAGGAAAATGTTGATATAGATTGCTGTAGATGTGAGCTTTACCAAGGCTGGGCCAGTAAAGCGGTGCCATCTCTCTGTACCTTTCCTCCCTGTAATGTGTAAACTTCAATACTTGAGCACGAGAGTTTTTGAGAGAGAATATATTTTGCTATTTGAGGCTTGAAAATGGTGTCTTTTTTCTGTATGTGACTGTGTGTGTGTGTGTTGGGTGAGAGAGGTAGTTTTGTTTAAAGAAAATTAGAAACTAGAAAGGTAACATTTGCCAAG